CATAAAAAGCCCTAAGTATAAAAGCATATAGACACGTATTTCAGATATCCGCACTAGCGACATTTATTTTACAGTCTAGTGATTGCTCTATCTTGCTACGAAACGGCGTTCGCGAACCTCTGACACATGCATGTACCGATCTTAAGAGTTCAAACGAGATCTGTGTCCTGAGCAAAGTGATTACAACATGATAAGGCTCGGTGTCTTTCTGAGCTATCTTGTCTGCGAGATGCTTTAAGAACCGCTGACACTCGTTTCCCATTCCGCCATTGGTTTCAAACACTAAAGGCGTAAACGAGCCCATTTCTACATCTAACACCCGCTGCTGGTACTTGCGCTTCTTCTCTTCTTCTTGCTCTTTGAACACTTCCGATGTTGGCTTGCTCTGGTAACACTTGGAGTTGACGTTCGTAACTCTAACATCAAAAAATGCCGTAACTCCTCTTGCCCAGAAACCTCCCGCTTTGTTGTCCAACCTTGCCTCAGAACTTGTAAAAGCGCTCCTCAAATGAAATCGCTCGTTGTCCAGGGGTTGAAGGCGTGGTTCGATTTCGACATTATTGCAGATCTTGTCGATGAATGTCGTTAACAAGTTCCGTACACCGTCATGTCTCTGCGCTACAACCCCCCCTTTTTACAAGAGAGGGCGTGACTAACGGTGAATTTATCCCCACATATGCAATGACTTGGTAAATCGACTAAGGGCAAGTCATAACGCAAGCGTAGCGAGTCTCTGAACTCTTGCTTGTTGAGGGCTAAACCTTTGTCTGCGAGAGGCATCGCATTCAGCCAAGAACTTGCGCCCTTGTCCCTCGATTGATTAACCAGACGCAGCTTGCCTGGGGAGAGGCTTGGATCAATGCTATCCATTTTCTCTTTGGCACTTGCTCTCTTAAGTGATTGTTGATACCTCTTTAGCTCCTCCGTAGATCTTTCTCCTGGCACCATGATGGAACTCTGTGAAGTAATAGAATCTACGTGCGCGGTGGTTATTAGTCTCGAGGCAGCAAACTGCTGCGGTGCCTCGGATTTCAGATCAGGAATGCCTAGACCCCCTTGACCCGTTGCTAAGGTAGCAAGTCTGCGCACCTCGTTAGGGAGAGGCTCTGATTGACCGAACAAAGTTGGGAGTAGTAAATCTTCAATCACTTCCTGGATTGGATCGACATAAACTTCAAACGATTCAATCGTGCGCATGAAGTAGGTGAACTTCGACTTGTAGCCTTTTGTGAAAGCAATATACGCCGCATGGGGCTGGCTCTTCGCTATTTCAGAGAGAAGTTCGATTTCCTCTTTCCATGCACGAACCTTCTCCTCACAATACTGATCTTTGTATTCTTGCGACGCAATAACTGCTCCCAGATGGCGCTGACCTTCAGTCGTTATGTTGACTTCCTCTCCAAACACCCTCTTTGCTTCCTCCGCGAGTTACCTAGACTTCACAATAAGCCAGCTCTTTGTCCCATTCACAAGGTAACCAAACTTTTGACCTTCCTTACTCAATTGCCTGTACCAGTTGTATAACTGCACTATACTCCCTCCTCCAGCTGAGTCGTCTGCAAGCCACACCTGTTTAACCAATGGGCAATGATCCCTCAAATTCTGTATCATTATGGATGTATTAAGTGCGTACCATGGCATCGCTAGCGGATCTCCTTGTGTGGTGCCTTCTCGAGAAAGTATTTCACCTCCCCCACAAATAAACAGTCTAGATGGGCTTCTATATGTGTTAATAACATAGAGCGCCATTTCTTTGCACATGATCTGGATATTGTGTAAGGCCGATGACCTATTCATTTGGTTAAAAGCGTTACTAGCATCAATTAGCAATATTCCATCTGTTCCTTCTTCAACAAACACTTGACTCATTGCATGGATCGCAGCCTCCGCTCCTGCATTATGACCAGCGCAAACTTGTAGGGGACCCGCCGCTTCTTTTATTTCCTCCTTTAAGAAACCGCTGACCGTTTTCCCCACTATTCTCCTTAGTACCTCTCCAACACCAATTGGTCTGATTCCCGGGTTCTTATCAAGCGGGATAAGCCTGCAGGACGTAAAGGCTTCAAGTAAGGATGGGTGGTACGATTTCCTTAGCAGATTTCTTGTGAACACGGCTAGCTCTTCTCTCAATATTTTGCCCTCGGTCTTGAAATTCTTAGAGCACAGGATTCTCTTATGCAGCTCTGCGTCCATTCCAGATGGTCCGGCCGAGCCCTTGGTTTTACTTGCCGAGTTGTAGATCGATTCTTCGTCTATGATTTCATAAACATTTGGCAGAATATAATCAATTGTGCCATGCAACAAACTCTCCTCTGCGATATCAGCTGCCTGTGGGTGCTTTTCCTGTAGCCCTTGCAGGACATCTGGCGATAGGTCGAGCAGACCGGACGAGCTCTCGTTATGTAGGAGTTTCATTGCAGCTGTCAATTTTCCTGGCAGAACCAGCTTTGAGAAGGCTTTGGATATGTCTTCAACCTTTCTAGGTTTCTTGGAATTCACAAATTTCCCTTGAAAGAACCTCACTTCTTTAAGCAGCAAATCAATGTCCCCTTGTTTCCAGAGTGCTAATCGACGCTCTATTGCTTCACTATACTCCTTGCTTTTGGAAGTAGCGGATGGTTTTTGCAAAATCAAAGTTGGGAGCACCATGAATGCTTTAAGAGCGACCGAGTTCAAGTCAGAGTCTGAATTAAATTGCTTAATCCAGAAGGTTAATTCTTCAATGAAACTCTTCCCTGCGCGACCCGATGGAACATTGAATATATTCCTCCTGTAGTGGACGATTTCATCGTAAACATCGTTGACAGTATTACAGAAACATGCGTAACTAATACTGCCCCAAGTTTTGTTCTTTGTTTCGGAGGGAAGCACATCATAATCAGGCAGATTTGGCTTGATTTGATTTTTGGTGTTTTGATCCTTGCAAGTAGCGGTCCGTCCCTGGGGAGCTCTTTGACCAGCAATGTCGGAAGAAATATAATTATCATAAAAAATCTCCCAGTATCCTTTGAGGCAGTTTTTTATAACTTTGACAATTTTATGCGTAGAAGACTAGATAACATTTATCTTCCCTGTCACATCTAAGGTAATGACTTCATCAGTCACGTTGATATTTCCGAATTAGGTTTTTTTGTGGCTGTGACTAGATTTCATGAACGAGTTAAAAATAAATAGCATTTTTGAGGTTTTAGTTGTGCGGGGCATTTAAAAATAACCAGTTGACGTCCGGCTTTTAAAATTTAAGGAGGTAATGAGCATCAGCGAAAAACTCGGGAGAATAGGCCGAGGGATGTAGAGAGTCAACCTTTCATTACACGGCAGAGAAATTCGTGGAAAAGTAAGGTTCTACCTGATAATTTTTTTCATGACAAAAAGGGGGCATGTCGTCATCAGTCACGTGATCAAAGAATGTATGCTTTTGTTGGTTTTTAAAGTACCTTTTTTGTCATTAATTGGCAAGTGTTTGTTGTTTCTCTCAACAATTCTACACACTGTATTGTCTCTGAGTAATTATTATTCCATTTTCAAGGCGGAAACAAACGAAAACAGAGCCAGAAGTTTAAAAGTTGTAATAATGATAGTCATAATCATAATCATAATCATAATCATGATCATAATAATATTACATAACCTGATGATGTGATGTTGAGGTTATGTGGGAAGTGCCCACAAAGCGTTCCACATATCCTCGCTGGCTGCTCAGCTTTGGGACAGAGCAAATACCTAGAAAGGGACAACTCAGCCTTGAAGGTGGTATTTTTTGAGCCTCTACAAGATCTAAAGCTAATTGACAGTGTTCCACCTTGGTACTCCCCAGTGCGGCCAAAATCACTCTACGATAGCGAGGACGTACAGACCTATTGGGATATTCCCGTGTTTGCAGAATATAATGAGTTTAGGGCCAATAGAGTGGACGCAAAAATAGTAGATCATCAAGCAAAGAAAGTGACAACTCTAGAAATGAGCTGCCCTTGGATCCAGAATCGAGAGAAGAAAGACGAGGAGAAGGCGTTGAAGTATGGGCCCCTACCCCGGGAACTCAAGCAACAGTTCAAGGGATACAGGATTACACAAAATAACATCATAATAGATATCTTAGGAGGATGGTCTAGTTCTATCAAGTTATCCCTTACCCAGTTATTAGTTATGCAAAGAGGTGTTTAAGAGAATGCAGAGCTCTTTCATCTCCAGTATTTTAAAACATTACCCAAACTTTTAAAGTTGGTGGAACATAGTTACAAACGTCATTTTAGTTATGAACGACATGTACATACCTTTTAAATCTTGTGAACGGGGGTTAAGGACATCTACAGACTTGGACATTTAGCATTACTGGTAGTAGATTGTTCTTAAATTTATCGTTTTATCATCTTATTTATTTATAGATACTATATATATATATATATATAATTTTTATTTATTTATTTATTTCTATATCTAGCCGATTTTTTGAAAACCAACCTATTGGGTCCATTGGGCGATAACGTTATCAAAAATCCGGCTAGATGATCCAGCGAAATGAGCAGCACTGGTGCCAAATGGCCTGCAACGTCGTCTGCCACACATCGAAATGACACACTTTGAGAGATTGGCAGAATTCTTTGGAAACATCTAGCCGATTTTTTGAAAACCAACCTAACGAAATCGGCTAGAAAGATGTGTAATTTTTTTATTCTGAGGCTGTTCCTTTGAGTCCCAGGGTCACGTCCGACGCCCCTAGTGGTTGTTACTATATGACACCTATACGTGTATACTGTTATTAAAATAACAAGCAAAAATCTTTATTAACATATGACCAATTTACATTCCACTATCATAGACTAAAATTTTGATGAAATAAAAGCGTTAAAGGATCCTAAAACACTAATTTACAAGCCCACGCCATTATCGACTTTCTAAAATTAGCGGACACACTTTAATGTCTTTAGTATAAAAACGTCCAAGCTTTCTTTCGTTGTTCTATTCTTCCGATCCTTATTGATGTCTGTTTTACATAACCAGGTAAAGAGACAGAATGCAACATGGTGCCAAAGCGGAGATTTCGAATGCAAGGGACCCTCGACGGTGGTCTAAGTTGGTTTGTTGTTTTTGGATCTTTCATGTCACAGTTTGTCGTTATGGGAATACACTTCGTTTTCGGCCTTTTGTACATTGATCTGTTAAAGGAGTTTGGGCAAAGCAAGGCCACCACAGGTGAGTATGAGTTGCAGTGTAGTGGGGCTCCCAAGTTCACTGCCTGCTCTAGCCGCTGCCTGGATTTTTTCTCAGTTTTCTCTAGTGAAGCTCCTCGGCCACGCTTGAAAATAGCCAACTGGTTTACTTCTGGCTTGTTGGGATTCTTAACCTTGTTATGTTTATTTTCAAATGTTTGTTTCTGTCTTTATTCGTGGGCCTCAATGGAAACTAGTGGATCAATATCTGTGATGCATCTGCATTATCCAATAGCGAAGACTGGAAATTGTTTCCTAGCTCGTAGGACTAGCACTCCAAACGGAAAACATTTTGTTTGGAGGTAAAGCCTAGTGTTTCGCTCTGACACTCACCGTAAATTTCCTTTTTTAATAGCAGTAGCTTTTTGGTCAGTAATCGTCAGCTTCACCCCTCGGCCACGCCTTTTTGTAGCCAACAAGTCTATTTCCACCAAGTTAGAGTTCTTCTTATATATATTACGTAAATATGTTATGTTGAAATTAGCTTTGCCTGATTATAAGGTTTACAACAACAAAGCCCTATCAAACGCAGTCGAAACCCAACATTAGCGTATTGTAACTATATGAGCCGGGTTTAGCTGTCCGCTTAAAACTATTCCTGGATGAAGTAAAAGACTTCAGTGATAATTTGATCCATTATCAACGAGAGAGGACACGTAAGAGTGTTAAAAAAAGCGACTGTGACACTTTCAAAAATTTTTTTTTTAGCTTTTCTGACAGCTAAATATTTTGCCGTCAGGTTTATGGTTATGGTTTACCCAAGGTCCCGTTTATATGGAAAAAAGTTGTTCCAGGAAACAGGGTCACTCTCCCACCCGAGCGGTTCATATGAGAAAAAGGGTTGACCCCTTTACCCAAGCCAACAACGCTCTCGCATGCTCTGGTCGTCTTGCCTTGACCGGGTTGATCCGACCGGGTGGGCCAAAATTAGGAGAGTCATCTCACTATCGAACTAAAAAGAGTGAATTTCTAACCAAGGTAACTTTTTGTATCTCATGTAAACGGCTCGCCAACTTTGTAAGGAAATGAAGGAGAAGTTGTCTCACCCACGGTAGCTAATAAACCTAAGTGACCTTTTTACCCGGGACAAGTTTTCTCCATTAAACCGGGTCTCGAGACTCCCTTAGCTTAGTGTCCTCATTATATTATCCCTTAACATTTCCGGTTTTGCCTTTTTTCAACAGCATGGGTTGCTTCCATTGCATTCGGCTTCATTGGTTGCCTGGCACCTCTAAGTAGTTTACTGTGCAAAAAACTTGGTTGCAAAGTAGTCATGGCAGTCGGTGGAATACTGATCGGAATTGGTATTTTTGTTTCCTCTTTCGTCGATACGATTTTCCTCATGTATGTCACATATTCCTTGATATTCGGCCTGGGATCTAGCATGTGCTACGTAGCTTCCGTTTTGGTGCTCAGCGAATACTTTAATAAAAATTTAGTTGTTGCTAATGGAATCGCTCTGGCTGGAGCGGGCGTGGGAGCCATATCACTTGCGCCAGCGTTGAGCCTTCTACTGGACAATTATAACTGGCGTGATGCAGTTCGTATTCTCAGTGGAGCGTCACTTGTGCTACTGTGCTGTGCATTTATTTATTATTTGGTGCCTTCGCCGCTGAAATTTGTAGATGCTAAGGATTACCAAGAAGAAAAGAAATGTTTTGATTGCTCGTTATTTAAGAACAAGGCTTATGTTCTGTTGATTGCTGTTAATGGATTGGTGTTATTTGGATTTTATATACCATACGTTCATTTGGTAAGTTTATTCTCTAGTCAGCGGTTTTTAGTAGCTGTTAGTTAGCCCCTTACGCAAACGTTTTTAGGGCTTTATACACTGTAGAAAATCATGACGAAGCCCTTAGAACGTTTGCGTGGGAGGCTAGAGGTTGGTATGCGGCGGCTTGATTCACGAAGTATTCCGTCATAGAAATGCTGAAGCTCAGCGGTTGCCTGCTCCAAGGTGACCAAAGGGGGCCAAAGGGATGACGCGTAAGTGAAAGGCTTGCGAAAATATGAGCGCGTGATCTGGGAAAAGGCGGCGGTGGCGCTTTCTCAATTTCGAGGACCCAACTATTTCGGAGCCTGGAACAGGCCACGACATAGGCAGGCGATAAATATTGTAGAACTTAAATCTGATATTGGAGAAAATGCGAGCGCGAGTGAAGCAAATTGGACTTTCTCCCACCACTCGCGCGACGCTTTCGCTCCACTTTTATCGCGTGTCATGTTTGGAGAAAGAGTCCTTTCTACTCACTGCCATACAGGCTACGAGATTGTATAGAAGAAAGACATTTCCAAGCTATCGATTGCATGAATAACGTGTTTTCTAAAACGGCAAATGCTTATCAATTTTATCATTATTGCCTTTATTTTATTAAACGCATAGTCTTAGTTTTTGAAAGTTTGATCAGATGTATATTTTTCCTGCAGAGTTCCTTTTTAGTATCAAAGAGCAAAGTACCGTGAATTGCCGTTTATAGCCCCCTCCCCCAGTTATACGCCCATCAACCATTAAAGAATGAGACATATTTGATTATAAGCTCCCCGCCGATGTAAACCCCACTTGTATTGAAAATAATTTGATTCATTATGACGTTTTGAATCTTAATTGTGGTCATCATTGCTACAGCTTGTTTCGAGGCGCTTTTTCTATTCGAGATATAAGCCCCCTGGGATATAAGCCCCTCAATTTGTAAGCCCTCTTAAAACCCCTTGCGAAGCTGTATAAGCCCAGTGCTTATAAGCCGCAGTTTACGGTAGTCCAAAAGCTTTCACTTTTTTATTTTAAGGGGTGGTTTCACTAGAAGTTTGGCAAGTTTTTTGAACAAGCTGCTCTAGAATTACTTGCCCACATTTTCCTCCTTCACCTGTTTTGTCTTATACAGGTAAGACACGGACAAGACATTGGCATCCACAAAGAGGACGGTGCTGTTCTAGTCGGCTTCATTGCAATGTCTGAAACAATTGGAAAGATTGTCTATGGCCGAATTGCTGATCATCCGCGTGTGAACCGAGTTTACCTGTATCAGATGTGCATGTTGGTCTGTAGCGTTCTTACCACTCTTCTTCCTATTTTGACCTCCTATAAATCCCTGTTAGCCTATTGTATATTGTTTGGCATCCACGATGGCGGCTTTGTCGTCCTTATAGCCGTATTAGTAGGAGATGTCGTCGGAAGGAAAAAGATGGCATCAGCCTTTGGGATCATGTATTGTATTTCTAGTATTCCAATGATACTAGGACCACCAATAGCTGGTAAGTGTTGCATTGTGGGTGCAGCTGACAACTAAACTTATTTCAGCCGGGGTGATCCAATTATAGTCGGACTGAGACTCTTCTCTCAAGAGGAGCCATGGGAAATGGCATGAGGCATTCTTTTACCTTTTTTTTTTCTAAACGGTTTGTTTTTTACCACAGCAGAATTAGCTCTTAGTCAGTCGGTTGAGCCCTTGACTGCAGAGCAGGATTGAGGTCGCAGGTTCGATTCTCGGGGCGGGACCAATACTCAGGATCTTAAAATAACTGAGAAATGAAGGTACTCTCTTTACGCTGCAAGTGGCTGGATCTTCGGGTGGCTCGGATGACCAAAATATGAATGGCGATCCCGTCTCCAGTTGGAGACCTAAAAATAGTGTTTTCAGTTAGTACAGTTGGTGCTAAATACATTGACATTCAAATAAAGTACTTTTTTTATCTTTTGTCTCACGATAGTCACTTAGTTGTTGATCGCAACTTGCCTATCTCTGTAAGGCGTCTTCCCAGGCCTTCTGGGTCAATGCATTTAGGTGACGTATCCGAGACGAACGGCTGGGACAACGTGATCCGAAACGTATCGGCCACGCGCAATAATGAGGCCTAGGCACTAGGCAAGATCGCAACGTTTCGACTCGGCTTTCTGCAGGTCTTTATCAGGAGCTGACGTCGTCCTCTATTAACGCCAACAATGCTTTGGATCGAAACCCACCAACCTTGACCAATCTCTAGCTCAGTAAATTGACACCAATCATGACTTGCATTCTTCGGTCGAAACGTCGCGATTAACAACTAAGTGACCATCGTGAAACAAACGATAGATATGAATCCGTTATACACATGCCACGATGACTGATATCTTTCATGATATTTTTATTTTGTTTCAGTTTTTTCTTCGGTTCCTTATAGGAAAACTAGTAAATATGACATGCATTCTCTGGTGTCTTCTGCTGTACTTTCGCATCTAGAAGTGTTCTTGTTTCTTTAACGTCTTTTGTTTTATTACAATTTTACTAGTTTTTGTTGATGATGTGTAAAAAAAAGGGTTTCATTCAGAAGAGACTCCTTGTGATGAGAGTGAGTGTTAAATTTCCGAACATGTGCTCCGTGAGTAGGAACAAATCCAATCTTTTCCCTGTCTATTTTGTAACTTTTTTTATTTATTCATTTATTTGTTTATTATACCTATTTTAGGATGGATGTATCTTATTCTCCAGTCGTACGTGCCTGCGTTTTACATGTCTGGCGCCTTCACTACACTTGGAGTATGTCTTTTATTTTTGATTCCTTTTCTACTTCCTCCTGAAATTGCTCAAGAGTGGTGCATACGTAGAAAAGGTTATCGGGTGCAAATCCCATCATCCACCTCAAGTCAAGCTACAAAATCATTGACTTTGGATTCCGGGTCATTCTCTTCTGAGTCGGAAGATCGTGACAGTAAAGTTTCGGAGTCTGGTAAAGGGGTGAAGTGTTATGAAAAGAAAGATATTACCGTTTCGTTGGTAAAAGATTCTGTTGAATTGGAGATTGTCAAAGAAAAAGCGGATACATCAACTGTAGGATGTGTCCTAGAAAAATACTTTTCTATGCCTAAACTCGTAAACCAACAAGACTGCGTTTTGGGATATTTCAGTGACTACTCAAGGGATTCAGAAGACGTTTGGATTCACTCTTTGGACCCGAACAGAGAGACTATGGTTTAGTTTAATAACATTTAAGTTGAATATTTATTTCAATTAGATAACATATTCATAACGGTGAAAATATTTCAAAGAAGGGCAGAACTGTCGCGGCCCTTTGATGGTGACAAAAAGAAACAGATCGAGTCGGATCGAGTCCTATATGAACAATGAAAATGAGCTTTTCAGTAAACGCAAGACTATAACCTTTAATTGGAAGTCAACGTTAATTTAGACTATGTTCACAGTATACTGGACAGGACACCTCTTGCGCCGGCACGAAAACCGTACCAGACAGGGCTTCTATTCACACAAAACAACGGTGCTTTCAGTGGGATTTCTGCTACGGAGCGAAGATGCGCTGCGCTGATCTCGAAAGTGGAGCATCACATATCGGTTAGTTTCAGTGACACACTTTGGTGCAGTGTGAACAGGTATTTGGACCGTAGCAGCAGTAAATAAGAAGGCGCGAGGACTGAAATCCATTGAGACCGAAGTAAACATTCAAGGCCTAGTTTTTCGAAGGCCAGTTAGCGCTTAACCCAGAGTTAAAATTTAACCCTGGTTTCTTTTTCTTTTGTTCAAAAGCATTTTCTCGGATAGTTTTCGCTGTCATTTTAAGCTTTCATATCTGAATTCAAATTTCGCAAATTCCTGGGTTATCTTAACCCAGCCTTGAAAGACCCGGCCCAGGAGTGAGGACTGGGATTTGGTTCAGCAAACCCTCACGGTGAATCTCTCAGGCACGATGTTCGATGTGTGTTAAAGATTGCCTAGTCCCTGTATGGCGTTTTACCAGGCCCGCTGAGTCAATTCACTTCGGTGACGTATCCGAGGCGAACGGGCGGGAGACGCCGTCACTTCGTCGCTTGAACCACGTGACCCGAAATGTATTGGCCGCGCGAAATAATGAGGCCTAAGGACTATGCAATGTTGACGACTCGTTCCAGTTGTGTTCCGTTGCTGTTTATACTTAACTATACCTTTGTCGTTGAAGTGCTTTAGCTTTATTTCAAGAGATATTAGAAATAAATAATTATTAATTATCTATATAACCTAGTCTACGGCGCGTCTAGGATTTAGTGGAGGGGGGTTCGGATATATGTCTGCTAGAGGCAAACCATCCTAGGGGGGTCGGGGCATGCTCCCCCTGAAAATTTTGAATAAAGGTCCTCTGAAAGGTAATTTCCAGCATGTCACATGCCTTTGAAACAACCTCTTCCTCCAACTATTATGTCACATGCCCTTGAAACGAGCTCTTTCTCTAGCTATTTTTAAACATGGACTACTCTTAAAAATTTACAATAATCGAGACCAATATCGAAAATAAACCTGAAATAACGGTTATAAATTTGTATTTGCCATGTGCTCTGAGTAACTCTTGACTTTTCTTGAGTTTTTTGAAAGGGTGCTAGATATAAGTCCTGAAAAACTGGGCGCCTACGAACCTGGTCAATATCAGCCACTAAAAGGAGATTTTAAACCTGATTTTACAGAAAAGATAAGATTTTATTGAAGATTTCTTCTTCCTTATAAGTGATAATGTTTGACAAACAATATAGTGATAAATGTTTGATCCTTCGACTCTCAATGCCACTCAATTGTCGATAAGTTTACTGTTTGCATAAACTCAGTTTTGATTTTTTGATGAACAGATCGGCAAAAGTCAAGATAAATCGATAAACGAAACGAGTGTGTCATCGATTTCTACCAATTAATCGATACAATCGACATCAAGCAAATCAGATTTACCAATCCAAGGCAAAAAAAACATGCTTATGCCCGGGGAGAAGGGAGGGTGAGGGCAGTTGGATTTGACTGATGCATAAAGCGAGCGCGTAAAATTATGAAGTTTCATATGGACCAAACTGAGGCTCGAAGGGCCGAAAAAATTTTTGAGACCGCCCCCTCCTTACTTCCTTGTCTGGATGACCGCCCCCTTTCCTTATCTGAAGGTCTGGATAACAGGCGCTTTGTGAGCCAAGCGAGGAGAACAAGGCATTTTGCGCTAAGCGCGAGAAGAGGAGAGGAGAAAAACAAAGCTTTATTTTTCTCCTCCCCTCGTCTCGCGCTTCGCGCACGTTTCGCTTCGCTCTGAAATGCTGCTTTCGCCTCGCTTGGCTAATAAAGCGCCTGTTATGCAGGCTACCCCTGTAACTCCGTAAGGGTCACACAACAAAGCCAAAAAAAGTCGCCTTATCGATAAATTCACACCAAAAAAACAAGGAACATATCAAAGTAAGTAACCCTCCTTTATCTATTTATTTCCTAGACAAAAGGTAAAATATAATAATATTTAGCGTTGGCAGACCTTATTATTTCATTTCCTATACGTCTCAACGGTCCCCTGTAACGCAACACCGCCTCTCATTACAGTGGGCCTCGATTTAACGAAGGGCCAAGGGACTAGGACTGAACCAAACCTGCACATTCCACTCGTAACGTGAGCTTGAGACGCCTGTGGAGAGTCAAACTTAATTCTTCAGTCCGAAGAGGCTGTGAAATGAAGAAACACTTTATTTTTTGTACTTTATTCCGTTTTTATCAAGCAATCATTATGCACGTACCGACTTCGTCTAACCCATGGTGGTTCTAGGTTTGAGCTGAATTCATGGATCAACATAGGCTCCACCTTGAGCTAAGGTAGGGTCACATACATTATAAGCAAAAAAGGTATACCGTTTTTATTTGCCTTCTATGGGAAAATTCTACCCATACCTGGTTTTAGAACGCTGCATCCCCTTTGATAGCCTCTCACGCAGACGTTTTTGGGGGAGCTCGTATTTCGCATGACGAAATTAGAGCTCCCTAAAAGCGCCTGCGTGGGAGACTACTCTTTTGACTGCACTAAATGGAAAGTCTTCTTAATGTGAATAACTCCCTAAACAAAGAAACTTTTTCTTTTTCACAGCGGATACGTCTGTTACCCCTCTTTGGTCCTAGCCTGTTCCAGGTTCTTAGTGGCGAAGATGCGAAAGTGAAAGGTACGCGAAAAGGGGGGCGAGGCGGGAAAAAGGAAGAAGGAAGGCGAATAAAAACAACTGAAACCTGAAACACCATGTGACCTGAAGACCCCCCGCTCTCTCGAACCCATGCTCCCGGCCGTGTGTGAGAAGCGAGAGAACGCCTGTAAACATTGTTAACAAAGGGTCGTTCCGGTATACTGGATTCCAGTATACCCTCTTATTGGTCGGTTATGACACCTTCTGTTAACACTCGAGCACTGGTGACATTGATGAGGAATGCGATAAGGAGGGAGAGGGACATCTGTTATCGAATCACGCGGACATCGAAGCTACTATAAACAATGCAATCGAACTTTTCCTGTATGAGGAATCTTTTCGTGAAGAGCAGAAAATTTGCTTGAATCTCGTTCGCCGAGGCCAGGACGCTTTCGCCATTCTTCTAACGGGCTCTGGGAGACCTTCATTTTTCTACTCTTTCCACGAGTAATAAACGTAATCACAGGAAACGTTGGCGAGTCAATTTCCACGATCATCATCGTTGCGCCTCTCGTAGCCATAATGAAACCAAAAACTCAAGCGATTTGGAATAACAGCAACAACAGCCATAGGTTGGGGACAGGAGGAAGGCATGGACGAAGACACGGCAATGTGAAAGGAAGGTGTGCGTGTCATCATTTATGGAAGCCCAGAAAGGGAAAAAAAGTCTTATTTGAAAGGTTATTTGGCCGCAATAAAAAGATTAATGCTTTAACAGAGGTCAAAGAAAATCAGTACTTTACTGCATGTGGAATCAAATTCTTTCAGAAACAAACCGCAGGAAATAATTACCCACTATGCATGACTGACCGTCTAAATGTTAGGCTCAGAGCGACAGAAATTAGAGTTGCTTAGTTTATAAAAGAAGGAAAACCTCTGATGTTGTTTATTGAAAGCTAACTGAAAGGTCACGTTTCACACTATCACGAGCTTATGGGTCGCGTCTAGCCTGTCAGCACTTTGTAGCTCATGTCACAGTTACGCGGTGGGCTGTCAGTTAAGGGCGGAAAGAGCTCTGTAAGGGAATGTTTACAGGCGTTTTCTCCCCCTTTCCCCCTCTAGTCTCCCCTCGTTTTTTTTTTATTCCTGAATTTTTCTCCCGCGCTCTACTATCTGAACGCCTGGAACAGGCTACCTCAGTACCGAATTTAGATCAAGAGCCAGACCATCAACGTCATGATCGCGTCCTTTAACAAGAACGCTCTTAATATCGGCGTTAAGTCTCGCTTGCTCGAAGATTAGTATCGGTAATAGCATGATTTATAGTGATTTTTGGTATACATACCACAAATGATATTTCAAAATTGTTATAAGTAATTTCACGAGCCGTTAGGTGAGTGAAATTTGAGACAATTTTGAAACATCACAAGTGTTTTTTATGCCAAGTATCATATACAAATATTTCAAATTAAGCTGAAATACCACTGCTATAAGCCAATCAAATTGCAGAAATTTCTCATGTAGTAGTATAAGATGAGAAAAGAGGAAGCGATCAATTCTATACCAAACAGGATTTACTCGCTAAAGGTTTTTCACTTCCTAGTTTATCGACGGTCGAGTATTCTTCAGGATACTTACTTTTTATATCATATCGGCTATTTGACTTCTGAATTGATTTAGTACGCGTTTTATCTTAGCGACGACCGGAAATACGTCTGCGGTCGCAGGCTATACACGTGTGTAATTACACCAAATTCACGTGATGAGAACATGGCACGTCATTTCAATCATGGCCTGAAATAAACCGCCTGCTCACTACAACACTCATTTGCATACAATGAAAGTTTTCAACACCCGACCAGTTAGCCTTTCTTAGTTAAGATTTTTCTTTTCCCTCGACCACTGAAGTGTTCACTTGTTCCAAATTTATCAAATCTTTCAAGCGATAGAATTCGTGGATCGACCCGTTCTGGAAAAGCTCTAAATTGCATTAATCTTTCGTAAGCTTTCTTCGCAAAACATGCGTCAAGGCTTCGGTCACGCAACGATTCTTATACCCAGTTTCCACGGTCTCCGCTAGGAACGCCAGGGACCATGGCTTCCCTTTTGTGTCCTAAATACGAAAAAAAACGGCTTTGCTGATTATGAGTCTCGCTGCTTACGCCAGCGAGACTAACAAGCCTCTGACACAGTTGAAGCCGGCGGAGAAAAGTGTTATTGAAATAAATGGGAGGGAGGTAACTCTACTGTTTTCCACCTAGGTTTCTTGACCCACTCCGCCTGTCAGTATGACGTCATATAGTAACGGGCGAGGTCGAGCAAAAGCAAAGAAGCTAACAAATATCGCTATATATCGCTTATTTGACGGAATGTGTGTGAGCTTTGGTGTTGCTACAACATGCTTGTGTAAACCGTTTTGATATTTTGTGTCCGTGATTGTAAAATTTTGTTAATTTGTTTTGCGAGCCGTGTTGCGGGATCGCCATCTATTTCACGGGACCGGCAAGGTCATCAAAACTTTTTTTTCCCTAAAATAGGCAAGGTCCAGTCTCCAGAATAGGAGGTTCCATTCACAGATCATGCATGTTTATATTTCATCTATTCTTTTGCTAATTAAATGGGCCTAACTTCATATCATTCCTTTCGAGTGCGGGCCTCTGTTGATCTCCTAATTCTCCACCAAATTCAGTAAAGCTAGTTCAATCGATTATCTACATCGAGTCGGCCCGTTGAACCGGAAATAATGCGAAATAGCTTTGAAATACGCGCTTAAGCTAGTTTTCCTCAAATGTATATTTGAATTCATGATAAATACAGCTCTATCAGCTTAAAACAGTGTCTATGGCAGAGAAAAATTGTTTTGATTTGACAAAATTAATTTCTCAAAGCATGTGTATCACTTTGGTGCAGTGGTCATGGAGTTTCTTGCACGTGCAGACAAACCGGGTTCGACTCCTGGCGACGCTGCTTTCTGTTTCTTTGTACCGTTTTTTTTTCCTGTTTGGTCTATTTTTTTGACACTATTTTTCCTTTTGGCCTTTGTTTCTTTATTCTTACTGTAGACCCTGCTGGTCATGCACTTGGATCGATATATGTTTTAAGCTTAAGTCCGGAGTTTTATTCTAGAAAAGGGCAAAGTTTCAAAAGCTCTTGATCTGCATACTGGCCAAGCTTACGACCAGATAAAAACCATAAGCTGTCAATACATGTCCCTCCTCTGAAACAGCTGAATTTTTTTCAATGTTAGTTGACA